TAAAAAAAAAAAAAAAGAATTAGTGTTATCTGGATGTAAAAAAAGCAAATACTCTTTTACCAAACATACTGGTAACGGAAGTCAGATTAGGATAGTTCATTTTTAGCCAGGCGTGGCGGCTCACACTTGTAATCTGAACACTTGGGAGGCTGAGGTGAGTAGACTGCCTGAGCTCTCAGGTTCAAGACCAACCTGAGCCAAAGCGAGCTACTTGGGAGACTGAGGCAAGAGGATTGCTTAAACCCAAGAGTTTGAGGTTGCTGTGACACCACGGACCTCTACCAAGAGCAGACAAAGTGATACTGTCTGAAAAAAAAAAAGTTCATTGTTAATGAACTAGTGAACATATCATGCAATACTATCCTCATAAGAAACGTGAAGAGTGGTTGGGAGCCTGTGGCTCAAGTGTCTTAGGCACCAGCCACATATACCTGAGCTGGCGGGTTCGAATCCCAGCGGCCAAACAACAATGACAGCTGCAACCAAAAAATAGCTGGGCGTTGTGGCGGGCATCTGTAGTCCCAGCTGCTTGAGAGGCAGAGGCGGGAGAATCGCTTAAGCCCAGGAGTTTGAGGTTGCTGTGAGCTGTCATGCCATGGAGGGTGACATTTTGAGGCTCTGACTGAAAAAAAAAAAGAAAGAAACTTGAAGAGTTAGGAAAAGTTTACTTGTGCCATATAATATTGAAATTTAAATCTCAAAAAATAAAATTTAATTTAAATGTTAACTAAATGAAATGAAGATAACAGTTTCCCTTTTAGTCTAGCCACATTTGAAATGCTAAATGCAGCACCTGTACCTCAGTGGGTAGGGAGCCAGCCCCATATACCAAGAGTGGCGGGTTGGAACCGGGCCCAGGCCAAACCACAACAAAAAAATAGCCAGGCATTGTGGTGGGAGCCTGTAGTCCCAGCTACTTAGAGGCTGAGGCAAGAGAATCACTTGAGCCCAGGAGCTGGAGGTTGCTGTGAGCTGTGATGCCACAGTACTCTACTGAGGGCGATACAATAAGACTGTCTGTCTCTACTACGAAAAGAAAAGAAATGCTAAATAGACATTTGTAGCTAGTGGCTGCTGTACCACAGCCCACATGTAGGAATATATCATCCAAGAAGGTTTTTTTGGACAGATCTATCTGAGAATGTTAAAATAATTGGAGCACAAATGTGTCCTTCATCATGTAAAGAAGTAAGAACCCAACACGTTGCTCACGTCTAATCCCAGCACTCTGGGAGGCCAGCGCTCTGGATTGCTTGAGATCTGGAGTTGGAGACCAGCCTGAGCCATAGGAAGAGACCCCATCTCTAAAAAAATAGCCGGGCTTTATGGCATGCACCTATAGTCCCAGCTACTGCAGAAGCTGAGGCAAGAGGATTGCTTAAGCCCAAGTTTGAGGTGGTTGTCACAGGAAGACGAGGCCCAACAGAGAGAAAGAGCACCCAAACACCATGTTTATAAAAGGAAGGGCTTTATTTAAGGTCGGGAGCTTACAGCATAGAATTCTAAATGGCTGCGCTCCCCCGACTGCCTTGGTCTTTCCCTTTTTATTGACAGTCAAAAAGTTCTAACCCACAGGTACCCTTCTTATTGGCCAGTTTGAGTCAAGCAAATGCTATTCCAGCCCCTACAGAACTACAGGATTTCACAGAACTTGGAAATTTCCAAGTCCAGGAAGTTAAGTTTACAAATTCCCAAGAGCTCAGTTACCATGGAGAGGACCCTGCAGGTGTATCTTTGAGGTCTCCTTGAGAAGACCTACCCTTCTCGGGTATCTTCTCATTCTTCCCTTTTGAGACTCCAATATAATTTAATTGATATATGTCTCAATATCAACTGCTTCTGCAGGTGCTGATATTACTTTTCAGCACTCACATTTTAGGGACTGTGAGTCTTCTTGGGTTCTCTACTCAGGCCTTAATAGTACTGTGGTGGTGGGCTAATATACATATGAGTTTTTACTTTTCTTTGTGTGACATTCTTCCCCCCCTTTTCCCAAAGTCCAAAGTCCAATTAAGACAAGTCCCTCAAGTTTCTTCAGGCTTCCACCATGTGTTGACCAGCCAGCTCCCAGTATGTGGCTGGAGCAGGGCATATTGACTGTCCTAAAAGTTACCTTTACTTCCTAAGGGGCAGTGAAGCTCTAGTTAGCCAGCTGTGATGACTCCAGGTGAGGATTCCTTTCACCTTCGCTGCCGAGCGTGTTGTCAGGATGATGGTATAAAGTTCTTTTTACCTTGGTTTGAAGGGGACCGGGTTGTGATCCTGGACCTAGACTTGGTCCTCTTGATCCTCCGGAGCAGCAGTTCTCAACCTCTGGGTCGCAACCCCTTTTTAACAATGAAAATACATTGCAGTATTAGGAAGGTTGAGAACCACTGCTCCAGAGAGAAAGGATGTACAGACACAAAAGACTAAACAGAACATCCACTAAACCTAAGTGGAGCTTTTCCTTGCTACTCTTTCTAGGGCTTTTGTCTATTCAGTTCAGTCTTTCTTAGTTCTTTTAGGAGTCCCTGCTAAATTGCAGGGGATTGACGGAGGCCTCTTTGAACAACACCAGTGGCAAGGCTTGTATCCAGTTAGGCTTTGCTTTCTGGCAGAGTTTACTGATCCCTGTTTTTATGGCCTTGTTTATGCACTTTACCCTGTCCAAGCTTTGAAGCCTATAAGTTACATATAGTTTCCAGGTAATACTTAAAGCTTTAGTTATTATTTGCACTAGTTTTTTTATGAAGGCTAGTCCATTGTTAAATTTAAAACAGAGTGGCAACTTAAACCATGGGACAATTTCGCTGGGCAACACTTTTACTACTTCAGGAATCCTTTTTATCCTGGTGGGGAAGGCTTTTCCTTATTCCAAGTATGTGCAGACAATCATCACAGTACTTGTTCCCTCGATACCTGGGCATTTCAGTGAAGTTTACCTGGAAGTCCTCAAAAGGCGTTGCTCTGTACAACTGGATTCCTGGGGGGAACTGTCAGTCCTTGGTGCATGTTGAACTGGCTGCAGGTGACACACCACTGACTGACGGTTTTGGCCACAGCTGCCAGGTGGGAGATGTAGAAGTATTGGCCCAGCAATTTCACCAAAGACTTCTGCCCCAGATGAGGGCTCTTGTGTATGGGTGACACCAAGGTGGCTTCTAGAAGCTGGGGGACTGTTACTCATCTATCTGGTATCTTTATCCATTCTCCCTCTATTTCCTGGTTCCCCTCCATTGCCAACCATTTCTTCTGTTCCCCAGAGTAGGTAAGGTCAGAGCTCAGGAACCCACAGGATTGGGTGAGCCACTAGAGACACCTGGTATGATTTCAATGGGCAACCCTTTTGGTCTCAGTATCAACTCTAGTGTTCTCTTTAGTGATGGTGGAAGCATCTCCTTGATGTCCATGACAGTTTCTATACTGCCTCTAGCAAGTACTCTGCCTCTGAAGTATCTCTTGCTGATACTTGATGTCTTTTTCCCCAGAATTTAATAGTCTTAATAGTTTTCTTTGTACAATGCCCTGTGTAACTTGGAGAGTCAGAAAAGCATAGTTGGAGCCTGTGTAGATATTCACACTTTTCCCTTGACATAGTTCTAAGGCTCAAGTCAAGGCAATTAACTCAGCCTCCTGAGCTGATGTTCCTTGGGGTAGGGACTGAGACTCTACAGTCTCTGTTAAGATAACCACTGCATACCCACCCCACCACTCACCTTGTGCCATCATATAACTGGTTCAGTCTATATACAAGTCCAAGTTTGCATCTGTCCAAGGCTGGTCATGCAAGTCAGGTTTGCTAGAATACACATTATCCATAACTTCTGAAAGGATGGCACTCGACTGGCATAAATTTTACAGACCATCAAGTCTTGTACAAAAGGTTTTTATTGATGGGGGAGGGAGGCTGCAGAGAAGCACCAAGGAGGAAAGAAAAGAGAAGAGAAAAAGGGAGAGAAAGGAGGAAAGAGAGGAGAGTGAGAAAAGAGAAGCTTGTCTTTATATAGGGAAGTCTCAGAATCGTGATGGGATGGTGGGATAGCCAATAAGGAGTTACTGCTCTGGTGGGAAGAGCCATTGGGGTGGGCAGTGGGTAATTGGAACAGGGTAATGAGGTA